TGTTATCTGTAAGTGTTTTATGCTATGTTTAATGAAAGGTTTGAAAATACGCATCCAGGTAAATGTATGTGTAACAATTTGTATGTATTTATTTATGGATTTTGAATTGGGGTTTTGAATTTTAACATAAATTAATTAACTTATAAGATGCATACGTATTTATGCATCATGGTAGCGCAGTGGGTAGCACGATCGCCTCACAGCAAATAGGTCACTGATTCAAGTCCCAGCTGGGTCAGTTGGCATTTCTGTGTGGAGTTTGCATGTTCTCCCAGTGTTCGCGTGGGTTTCCTCCAGGTGCTCCAGTTCCCCCACAGTCATCTCTCTTAGGTGTAATTTGCTTTTAAAGTATTTTTTACAATTCAGTTTTAGCAGTCTTCATATTAACAATTGTGCACTTTGAAAACATTTATGCCATTTTAAACACAGTCCTGGCTCATGACGAAAGCTACAGGTGACCTATTATTTAGAAGCAGAATTTATGTTATGTCTCCAAAAATTGTGAAAACAAAAACATATAGTATATGGTAATGCTTTTAATTTATAGTAGGTTATTTATTAAGAAATGTATCTGTACTGTATATGACATGGACCTGTTGGTTAGAACATTTCTGCAGTGGTTTGAATGTGTAAATGTTAAAGTAGACTTTTCTATATATAATATTATCATTTAAGTTAGATTTGTATATATATAATATTAAGTTTGATTTTTCTTCATTTCTTAATAAATAGCCTATTGGAAGTTACAATCATTAATGATTTAAATAATTTATTTATGAGATAAAAATACACAGCTAAGTGGCTAAGTGGTTTTATGCTTTAGAATAGAATATGGAATATTCTCATTAATATTTGTAAAGGAAAAATTGGCCCTATATGTTCTGTTTACATATATTTTAATTAATATGAAAAACCAGTGCATGTTTTTACCAAAACTAATATTGGAAAAAAAAAAACATCATGTTTGGGCAAATAATTTTGTTTTACACGCACACGCATTTAATGTGCGTGTAAAACAAAATTATTTGCCCAAACATGATGTTTTTTTTTTCTAAAGAAGTTGTTACTCCACCCTGTTTAGAGCATAATTATGGATGTTTTACGCTATAACTAACATGGTACAAATGATGGATTTGCGACAGGGAAACTACGGTTTTGGGAAACACTCGTCACTACATTGTTCGTTTCCCAAATGATGCATCATACAATGATAGATCAGCCGCGAGTTATGTCGTTGTTTTGGAAACGCACACCAGGCAGATTTCTTCTCAATTTACTAATTATTTTTCCCTTTCTGATTAATGTCTATGCATATTGCATTTCCAGTTTGGCAGTCATGATTATGTTTTTGCGCAAAGTAATTCTTCTTATATCCTTTATTATGCTACATGACGCTTCATTGAATATTCACACAGATCTGCTCATATCGCTTCACGATAAACCCTTTCCAAAGACTGAGGCATTTTTTTTTCAGAGACACATTACTAAGATATCACACAATATCATACAATATCAAATCACAACTGGATGTCTACGGAACTCACAATAGTCATTATTGGATAGAAAGCTCATAAAAAGAACAGCATTTTGTCAAACAAATGCGTAAAATTGATTAAAGCGTTCTCGAGCAGGTTCCCCCCTGCGTTTTGGCTTGTGTTTTAAAAAGAAGGAGGATTGCTCTTGCTCATCCTCTTGCAATATTCTGCCTTCAGTTTTTTTGGACATTCTATTATTTTTTCATTGCACGAACCCTTTGAAGACCTTGTCCTTCATCTCACATTTAGCTGCCCTCGGTTGCGTCCTTTAATGCAGTCTGACAGGCATCAGGAACAGTCGGTAGAGGATGAGCTCCAGGGGAAAGGCAGGGCCGATTGAGCCCCATCTCTGTGGTACAGGCATTAGTTTGGACACCTAGGAGCCCTCCTTCACCTCTGGGCTCTCTGTGGGAGTCGGGGCCTCCTCTGCAGACGGGGACTGAGCATCACCTGGACCATCTGGAACATGCAGAAAAAAAGCCTGAGGATTAATAGATGACTTTTAAATTACAGGACTAAAATGAACAATACACACAATACCAGATGTTCTCAATTTCAGTCAGGTTTTTCCAGTTATAAAGAATGATTCAGAAATAAGTCATTGGTAAGTCAGTGACAAATTCATTAAATGTTCCACAAAGTGCTTTAAAATGTGCACTTTTAATCGATGATTGATGTAATCTCAACCGAAACACAAAGAGAGGGTGGGACAGTGTAGCCCCTCCCCTTTTTATAAAACAGCCAATAGCATTTTGTTTTATCACAGCTCTGCCAGTGAGAGTGCTTGAGGTCAAGCACCTCAAATGTGAATCGTCTTGAAAAGGGCGGGGCATGTCAGATACCAGAGAGCATTTGATTGGTCACAATTTGATGAGAACTGAAGTATGAGGTGAAGTGAATAAAACCATTGATCCATTTAGGTGGCTGTGGCAAATTACAAGCTTTACATGTTCATATCTGTTTTATACCTTCTAAACATTTTTTTTTTTTTTTTACTGTTTTGGAGCGCACTAGGTTTTAGATATGCTAAATACTAACAATGCTTTATTCTAATTTTATGTGACCTTTAAAAAGAATTGATTCAAAGGTGGATTCGTTTTTTTAAATTAAATAGCTAATAGCTAACATACTAGCTTAAACATTAAATAAAAATCTCATTCTTATTTGAAACATTTCTGTGACTTTTGAAAATGATAACATTTTAATTTGTGATAGTTTTATGGTTTTGACAAAAATATGTGCATTGCATATTTAAAAGTTTTAGTGATATCATATTGCATTGATTTACAAAATAATTCTTAAAACAATGCTTTAATACTTTAATAAATATTAAATATTTAAATATTCAATATTGGAATAATAAATATTCAAATTTTGTAGATATTGCAGATATTTGCTTTTTTTTTGCCCCTTGTGCAATGTTCAAATTGACCACCCTTTTATTATGTTAGAGATGAAAACATCCACTGAATAAAACTGCAGTAAAAAAACATCAGGTAAATATTTTATTCAATTTCTTTTGCATTAATCTGTTAATCAACCTCAGTCCTGATCAAAAGTACTAAATCGATTTTAAACATTACAGTATTTTAACACTTTAATTGCCAAGTTTACAAATGATGTCACTCATTTGGTGAAAAGAAAACACAAAATGACATATTTTCAATATAAAAAGTAATTGTGGACTGGATTTTTTCACCTTTTATCACAGTCTTAGATATGTGAATGATTGGTTACAGAATAATCTTTTGTTGGTGGCTGTTTTTACCCCATTGACTTCCATTATAACCACATTTGACGGTGCAGAAATACACAGTCCTTGTTTTTGTTTACTCCATTTTTTTTTCACCAAATCAGCGACATCCTGTAATTTTGTTAATTTTGTTAAAGTTTTGATCATACCTGAGGTTGATTAACAGATTTATGCAAAATAAATAAATATTTATCTTTAGCATTTTTACAGTGGTTTAATTTAGTGGAGGTTTTCATCCCGAACATAACAAAAGGGCAGTAAATTTGCCCAGAGTGTATTGTTGAGCTTTTTTTTTTTTAAAAAAATCAAAGCATTTTCTCAAAATAGTATGTGTCAAAATAAGATTTACCACCAATAAATCATTCTGGTAGCTGAAACAGAAAAAGTTATGGCCAAATTAATACTCAAAATTATCCTAGAGTGGATGACAACATCCCCAACAGTACATAAGGGTTAATCAACAATATATTAATATACAGTTTGAATAATGACCTATATATAAACTGTTTTAATCTTTTAGTTAATTTTTACTTAGTAAATCTAGTCATATTATTTTTCAATTTATTTATTATTTTTTCAATAGTTACTTGGTTGACTTTCCCAAATGTACTTGACCGTTTAGGATTTTTACAAAAAAAGTTTGTGTGTGTGTGTGTACTGTATGTGTGTACTGGTTGTATGTGTGTATATACAGTTGAAGCCAGAATTATTAGCCCCCTTTTGATTTTTTTCTTTTTTAAATATTTCCCAATTGATGTTGAGCAAAGAAATTTTCACAGTATGTCTGAAAATATTTTTTCTTCTGGAGAAAGTTTTATTTGTTTTATTTCGGCTAGAATATTAGTAGTTTTTATTTTTAAACACCATTTCAAGGTAAAAATTATTAGCCCCTTTAAGCGATATTTGTTTTCATTAGTCTACAGATCAAACCATCGTTATACATAACCTGCCTAGTTAACCTAATTAACCTAGTTAAGCTTTTAAATGTCACTTTAAGCTGTGTAGATGTTTTGAAAAATATCTAGCAAAATATTATTTACTGTCATCATGGCAAAGATAAAATAAATCCGTTATTAGAAATGAGTAATTAAAACTATTGTTTAAAAATGTGTTGAAAAAAATCTTCTGTCCGTTAAATAGAAATTAGAGGGAAAAATAAACAGGAGAGCTAATAATTCAGACTTCAACTATACATATAAACACACACACACACACACACACACAAATAATTTCACTTATTAAACTTTTACAATAAGTTATTATATTAAATATGATTTTCATTATTATTATTATTATTATTATTATTTATTACATTTAATATTAGTTTATAATTCAGCCATTACTATTACACTGTAAACAATTCTTGCTGACTAATATTTCTATTTAGGTGAATCAAATGAACTTTTTTTGTCTTCTCAACTTATTAAAATGAGTAAAGCAACATAAATATTTGTCGTCAACACTTTTTGTTATTACATTTACAGTGTATTTTTAGACTCCTGTATATGCGTTATCATTTTGTAATTCTATGCAGAAATGATGAAAGACACCTGTGAGGGACAGTTCTGCCAGTTTTAGCGGCAGGTCAGGTGGGACTCCAACAGGAGAGCCCAGGATATCCGGCAGTGCATTACGACGACCAGAGCGTCCCGATGAGGCGAAATCCAACACCGGCTCCACTTCTGTCATCTCTACAAACAACACAGAGCTCACATCATTTTACAGTCATTACAAGAAAACAAAACAGATCGTTCTCCAAAACACATGCCATTTCTGACCACTAGGTGGAGGTCACACCCCAGAAATGCTTTCTTGCCCACAGGAGGGACAACAAAATTATATAAGCGAACATTTTCATGCTTGACCCATCCTGATGGTTCGGCCGTGGCTCGAGGCGCGTCTTTCACAAGCACAAACCAAACAGACCACTCGACTCAACCAAGAGCCTTTCTGAATTTATCCATGCTCGCTCAGTCAGGAAGAGGTTGCTATTAGCAACAAGACGAACCACCTATACTGCATAGCAACAGGTAATCTCTTCTGCAAACAGTGCTGAGTGGACATGTGCTGAGTTTGAAAAATGCAACATATTGTGATGTTATTGAACATGCATGATATTTTAATCATGACCAATTCTGCAAATAACTTTTGTTTCAACATTTATTAGAGCTCCTTATTCAAATGGTTGTTTAAGCATTGTTTATCACAGCACTGGGCTATTGATTAAGGCTATGGCTATGTTCATGTTAATCTGGCCTATATAACATGGTCGAGGTATGGACTGAAAATGTTCTGATTCTTTATATAACGTTGGTCTTTAACACCTTTCAATATGCAGTTGAAGTTGAACCTTTGATGTTTTTCTTATTTTTTTATATTTCCCAAATAATGTTTAACAGAGCAAGGACATTTTCGCAGTATGTCTGATGATATTTTTTTCTTTTGGAAGAAGTCTTATTTATTTTATTTCAGCTAGAATAAAATCAGTTTTTAATTTTTAAAAACATTTTAAGGTCAAAATTATTAGCCCCTTTAAGCTATATTTTTTCAATCGTCAGTCATCATGGCAAAGATAAAATAAATCAGTTATTAGAAATGAGTTATTAAAACTATTATGTTTAGAAATGTGTTGAAAAAATATTCTCTCCGTTAAACAAATTGGGGGAAAAAATAACAACAGGGGGGCTAATAATTCTGACTTTAACTGTAGCTCCATTTGTTAACATTAGTTAATTAAATGAAACTGATGAAAAATAGCATGTATTAATCTAATTGTTATGTGAAGGGATACTGACAAATGAGTGCGGATCCAAATGCATGGTTATTTAGGAGAATGGTCAGGCAAGCAACGGTCAACTCAGGGGCAAACATGTAAATCCAGGAAATCCAGAGTCGTGGATGGGAGAACATGCAACCTTCACACAAAATAGCCAACTGACCCAGCCAAGGCTCGAATCAGCGACCATCTTGCTGTGAGGCGAACGTGCTATTCACTGTGTCACTTTTAATGGTCATGTCCTAATGTATAATAACTTCATAGCTTTTTTAATAGATTAAATAATTTTTAAATAACTTTAAGAAATGTTGCTATTGATCACTTTTGATATTAGTTACTGCCTACTACTGTTTACTAATGAGATCTTATTATAAAGTGTTACCTACTGCTGTATAATCCTTTTAAAATGTAATTGGTACCAAACATTTGTTAATTCAGAGCTTTTATGTACAATAATACACAAAAATGTTGTTAAATTAAGTAACACATTTTGTGAATAAAGCTTCAGTAATTTTCACAAAGGGGTCACCTCACAGCAAGAAGGTCGCTAGTTCGAGCCTCAGCCGGGTCAGTTGGCATTTCTGTATGGACTTTGCATGTTCAGGTGCTCCAGTTTCCCCCAAAGTCCAAAGAAATGCGCTATAGGTGAATTGGGTAAACTAAATTGTCAAGTATGTGTATGTGTGTGAATGAAAGTGTATGGGTGTTTCCCAAAGATGGGTTGCAGCTGGAAGGGCATCTGCTGCGTAAAACATATGCTGGATAAGTTAGTGGTTCATTCCGCTGTGGCGATCCTTGATCAATAAAGAGAATAAGCCAAAAAGAAAATTAATAGATGAATGAATAATTTTTACAAGAAAATTCACTGCATCATATACCAAGCCTGAGATGCACTTTGCACACAAGCTATTTATCCACGTGAGCCCAGACTCTGTGTGTGTATGCGCTCACATGCATGTGAATGCGAACAATTGGCTGGCCATTTGCATGGATGTGCTCACACACAGTCTTAGCATGTGCTTGCCCAAACATATGCCTGCTCATAAATATAGCATTATTCAGATGGGACTAGACAGAGCATGTTCAGACCATTCACACCAGCAACAATCTGTTGATTTAAGCATACGGCGTAGTCCGCCTACTAAAATAGATGTTATAAAATCTGTCAAAAATTCATTCATTCATTTTCTTTGCAGCTTAGTCCTTTTACTAATCTGGGGTCGCCACAGTGGAATGAGCCGTCAACCTATCCAGCATATGTTTTACGCAGTGGATGCCCTTCCATCTTTAACCCATCTCTGGAAAACATCCATACACACTCATTCACACTCATACACTATTGACAATTTAGCTTACCCAATTCAGTACTGCATGTCTTTGGACTGTGGGGGAAACCGGAGCACCTGCAAACTCCACACAGAAATATCTGTCTAAATTATAATAATAAAATATAACTTATTTTACTTCTGCTAGTAGCTAAAAGTTATCGTTGTTAATTTAAACTTGAAAGCACTAAAATATTACTATAAATAATATTAAAATTTATTAAAAAACATATTTGAATAGAAAACATTATAAAATTAAATAAATAACAAAATAGTAATAATAATATTTATATAATATTAATATTACAATCATACAATAAAACACTTATAATAATATAGAACATAAAAAGGAAAACGAGAAAACATTAACAAAACAATATAGTATACTTAATTATAATAATAATAATAATAATCTAAAAATAAAAAACTAAATTCAATATATATATATACTTTTTTTTTTTTTTTTTATTTAACTCATTTGCACACATGGTCAAAGCAACTTAAAACAGCTACTCATAAATCAATGTTTTATATGCATGAATAAATCATTGACACCAAAGGCCATGGTTAACAGGAACTGGAAAATTAAAGTAGGTCTTTGAGGCAAACGATTTTCATTCAAATATATCATCAAAGATAACATATCTTAATGATAGCGCACATAAAGCATGTACCACTTTATTTGTTTTGATGGCATGATTCAAGTGTTTATTGCCTTGTGAAGGTACAATTCAACACAGTTTTTTTAATAAACCCTGACCCTTCTGAGAATCCATTATTGTTTATATATTGTAAATAACGTAGTAAATAAAAGTATTTTTTACAAGACCGACACAGTGGCTCAGTGGTTATCACTGTCGCCTCACAACAAGAAAGTTGCTGGTTCGAGTCCCAGCTGGGTCAGTTTGTATGTTTTCTCTCGTGGGTTTCCCTCGTTGGTTTCCTTCGGGTGCGGTTTCCAAAGACATGCACTATTGGTCAATTGAATAAACTAAACTGGTCGTAGAGTATGAATGTGAGAATGTGGGGGTTGCTGTGTCTACTATTTTGTTTCGGATGTATGTTGTGTAGATGAGAGCTTTAAAGGACTGAATTAATCTACTCATCCCTTTAAAAAATGTCACAAATTATACAGTTTATAAGGATTTTTTTCCAAATTTCCTAAATACCTTTTCACCTGCTGGAGGGTAAACCATATCAAAGATTTACATTACATGAATACTCTAGAATTATATTTCGAGATTGGAGTAAAATCTAACATGTAGGAGACTATTTTAATTCAGTACAATATTAGATTGTTAACTGAAACTAGATGCACTTAAGTCTTATAAAGCAATATGTTACATAACAGTTAGCATATTATAAATCAGCAGCCTAACCAGATTGTTGTACTTTATGCAAACAAAATAAATCATACTTTTGTAGAAACTGTAATTAAATTTCTAAGCTAAAAAAACAAGATGACCCATTAAAATATATTTTAATATAATCCCAGAACACTGAGCTTCTTGAGTCTTCGAGTCTTCAGTAAGGAGCATTTTGATTCGGAAATTTAAAGCTAACTGTGATTGGCCAAACAGCACAAAAAAAGAAAAGAAAGATATTTAGGAGTCCACACACGAGACAGTTTGCAAATGCAGATTAGAGGATTCATAAACATGTAACATCATCATAAATATGTTTGCAAATAGTTACAATTTTTTTAGGTAAGATGCATTTACAGGGTTCAACACAATACCTTCATGTTGTCCCAACACAAATTGATTAAAGAGCCCCGAATCCCCAGTTGCAGGGTAGATTATTGCATTATTCAACGTTTGCTCAATAATGTATACTCATCTTCAGTCATGATCAGTCGATCACACACTCTACTAGCGTTTTAAGGGAAAGGTGCGTTCACGTTTTACCGGACCTGGCACAGAACATATTCGATATTGTTTCATGTTACCATTGGCGTTTCCGTGTGGAGTTTGCATGTTCTCCCTGCCTTTGCGTGGCTTTTCTTTGTGTGCTCCGGTTTTCCCCACAGTCCAAAGACATGCGGTACAGGTGAATTGGGTAAGCTAAATTGTTCATAGTGTGTGTGTGTGAATGTGTGTGTGGATGTTTCCCAGAGATGGGTTGCAGCTGGAAGGGCATCCGCTGCGTAAAAACTTGCTGGATAATTTGGCGTTTCGTTCCACAGTGGCGACCCTGGATTAATAAAGGGACTAAGCCGACAAGAAAATGAATGAATAAATCATTTCGAGAGGATCACATGCTTATGATCGCTTGCAGCCGGTCCTGCATTATTCAATTTATCAGTCACCAATCAGACGATTCCTAAACTACTATAAATACCCTAAGTTCAATATAACAGCCATCTTCGTTTTGAAGAATCCCCCATTCCACCCCTACTCCTCATCCTTTCCTAGATGGGTGGCACAGTGGCCCAGTGGTTAACACTGTTGCCTCACAGCAAGAACATTAATGGTTCTATCCTTACCAAGCCAGCCAACTTTTCTGTGCGGAGTGTACACGTTCTCCCCGTGTTTCCACAGGGTCCCCGGTTTCTTCCCGCCATCCAAAACCATGCAACTTAAGTTAATTGACTAATCCAAATCAGCACCATAGACATGCTCCTAGTAATTAGTTATCTATCTCTTAAGAGCATTTATTATCTATTTATTAGCTACTACAGCAGTGGAGTTCTGGAGATCAACCTCAGCTTGAACCCCCCTCTCGCCATGCAAACGGGAGGGAGCCCCGGGCTCGATGATCTTATGAGCACAAGGCTCTTTCCTGAAACAGCATGCCAAACAAGCTTTATAATCAATCATCAGCTAAGTGTGAACTCTTGAAATAATAGTTGTTTGAACAAGCCTCAAAAATACTTTAAGTGTTTGTGAATCGTGTTTTGAAATTCCAAAGTGGCTTTTAAAGATGTAAA